AAGGTCCCTTCCAACCCAAACCGTTCTGCACAGCCTTCGGTGACTCTCTTCTCTTGTTATGTCTCAACAGTGGCCCCAAATTTGCTCATGGTTTCCTGAGCACAGGCAAACACAGCTCCTGCTGCCTCCCTGGGATCAGAGGGACAGGTGGAGACTGTTCAGACTCATTCCTGCCGTGAGTGGCAGAGCTGTGACCTGCTCCGCTGTCCCCACACATGCTCAGGGGAGGAAATAGAGCTTGCATCGAGTCCACGCGATGGGGACAGTCAGATGGGCATAAGGCAGCAGGCAGCCATCGCTCTGTGTGGCTTTTTTTTGCCCGTTAACCAGAGTAAAAGTGCTGAGGCTTCTAGCTCATGCACCCAGCCCTTTTGGGGAGCAAAAAAGGGATTTTTTTTCTCCATGTAGGATGTGGTTAGTGAGTAGAAGCAGTGTATCAGACTGCCTCTGCCTGCCAGCTCTGCCACTTTCTCTGTCCCACAGTGCCTGACAGAGGAGAAGATTAGCCTGCTCCTCCAGCTGATCGCAGAGGAACTAGAGCACAAAACGGAGGGAGAGAAACCGCTGATTAAATTTGCCACGGAAATCCTGCAAGTGCACGTTCCTGCCTGCGTCCTGGCTCTGTGCGGCTGGACTTGCAGGTGGGTACAGTATCCCCTATTTCACTATTTTATTAATATCTCCAGCCTTTTATTGTTACATTTATTTATATCTCAAGCTGACAGACTTGCAGAAACCCCAAAGCAAAGCTACCTAATCTAAAATAGATGTCTCCCTGAGACAGCAAAAAATCTGAAACAGCGGAGCTGTCGCTTGCTCCGTTCATTGCTGATGGAGATGTTGAAGTCAATCCCTGAAATGTCATCCTCAGTAACGCTTTCATTGCTCGTTACGCCTGCGGGAAGGGAAGGAAGGTTCATGACCTGAAGGTTCACGGCTTCCCAAAGCGTGTGCTGTGAGCAGAACAGCCACGCTGTTTGTGCCTGAGGCAGCTTGAAGGTGATGTGATCTCTTACGGCTGGAAAAGGGCTCGTGGTGGCGAAAAGTGGAGCTGCTGCTGCGGCTGCACAGTCGGGGGCTGCAGATGGGGACACTTTTGGCCGATAAGCCGTAACTGAGTGTTCTCCTGCTTCATGACCAGCCAAAATGTGACCAAGCCAATTTAAATCAACGCTGTAGATGTGTTTTAATGGTCGTATTCTGCTTCTTAGCACATGGAGCTACAGAAACAGTAAGTTTGTACCTCAGTTGAAGGATACTGATGTCTTGAAATGTGCTGACCTAGCCCAAGGGCAGAGGGGTTGGAACTAGATGATTTTTAAGGTCCCTTCCAGCCCAAACCATTCTGTGATACCTGTCACTGAGATCATTCCTGTCCTCTGCCAAATACCAGCATCTGTTCTGAAAGCTGTGATTTGGGGGAAGGCGCCGGGGCTTGTCTCTGACCTTTTCCTGTGACTTGTTTCTGTCCTCACAGTGCCGCGTCTGGCTCCGTGCACCTCTCGCTCATCACCTGCTCCCGCTGCATGAGGAAGGTGGGACTTTGGGGCTTTCATCAACTGGAGTCTGTGGGGCCAGAGCTGGACTCCTGCGGCCTGAGCAGCACTCCGCCAGCACCAGCTGAGCGCTTACTGCTTGTGCCCACGTCTCCGCGCAGGATGCTCACGCGGAGCCAAGACATGCTCCTGCCGGGCTCCGAGCAGGTACGGCTGAGCTCAGCGGGCTCGTGAGTTTGGGATGTCTGAGTGATACAGGGGCACGCAGGAGTCAAGAGTGATGGAGCTTAGGTGTCCGCTGCCTTTTACTTTGAAAAAGGCTCATTTTGGTGCCATGTCTCCAGCTGTAGGTAATGTCCAAGACAAATGGGTTGCTGCTGCCTTTTCCACTGCCCTTTCTGTCCTCCCCTCCCTCAGCCCTCCTGTAGGAGAGCAGCTCCCATGCGAGGACAGGCTGAGAGAGTTGGGGGTGTGCAGCCTGGAGAAGAGAAGGCTCCGGGGAGACCTTCCAGCACCTTCCAGTGCTGAAAGGGGGCTACAGGAGAGCTGGGGGGGCTCTGGATCAGGGGGTGCAGGGACAGGACGAGGGGGAACGGGTTTGAGCTGGAAGAGGGGAGATGGAGATGAGATCTTGGGAAGAAATGTTTTCCTGTGCGGGGGGTGAGGCAGTGGCCCAGGGTGCCCAGAGAAGCTGTGGATGCCCCATCCCTGGAGGGGTTCAAGGCCAGGCTGGATGAGGCTTTGGGCAACCTGGGCTAGTGGGAGGTGTCCCTGCCCATGGCAGGGGGTGGCACTGGATGAGCTTTAAGGTCCCTTCCAACTCAAACCGTTCCATGGTTCTGAAAAAGGGCCTTTCCAGCCAGGATCCAGGGGCTTGTCTAAGTCAGGATGCTCCAGATCAGGGGCTGCCTTCACTCGTGTCCGTCTAGACACACCTGAGATGCTCCTGGTATGAAGGGAGGGTGGCACGGCTCCTGCTAAGATGGCCAAGAAGACTTTGATCTGTTGTTTTGACCTGGGCAGGGACCCCCTGTCCACTTCAGGCAGAGGACATGCTGGTGAGCAGAGGAGCTCTGTTAATTCCTTGTTCTTTCCCCACTGGTAGCACGAGAAGAGCCCGTCCCCAGCCAGCTCTCGCCCGCGGGGCTGGGACTCTCCCGTCCCTGTGGACCGGGTTGAGCTGGAGGTGGCCAGCCCCACTCTGAGGAGCCGCCCCGTCACCCGCAGCATGGGGCAGGGGGACAACATGGAGGTGCCATCCAGTCCTCTCCGCAGAGCCAAGCGGGCACGGCTCTGCTCTTCCAGCAGCTCGGTGAGGCGGGTACAGGCGCAGGGAGAGCCTGGGTCGGGAGAAGAGGGGTCTGGGCAGGGTGCTCTCGATCCAGGGACCAGTGTTGTCCCTGTAGAGCAGCACTGGGCCAGCTCAGGGCTGGTGTTTGGGCATGGAGAGGGTTTTATCCTGTCATTGGAGTCTGTTTTAAACCATGCTGTCACTGTACTCCTTCACTGTCATTGCCTCCCCCACCCAGGACACTTCTTTGAGGAGCTTCTTTGACCCCAGCTCCCAGCACCGCGACTGGTGTCCCTGGGTCAACGCTGTGGAAGGAGCGGAAGCCCTGAAGGACACCACAGCCGAGACGGAGAAGGAACCCGTGAAGGCAGAGCCAGGCTGGCGAGTGGTACTGAACACGCTCCTCGCCACCAGAAAATGTGACAGAGTGCCCGAGACGGAGCCTGTGGTGAGCCCGTGGGATCCCCAGCCCCAAACCCAAGCACTCAAAATGCTGTTTGCTGCAGCCTTGCCCAGGGCTGAAAGCCTCTGGGCAGAACCTGGGGTAGATGGGCTTTGTTTGGGCTGAACTCAAGCCCAGCTGGATGGTGAGGACCTGGGTGGGTGTCCAGAGTCTCAGCTTCCCCTCCGGCTGCGCTGACATTCTCTCGGCCAGGTCTCACCCATTACAACAACGTGTTGTGCTCAGATCTGCTCAAGGGCTGCTATAAATAACAGCCTTTCCCAAGTGGCTCAGCGCTGTCCAAGATCCAGTTTCATTTCATGTCCCGACAGAGCTCCCGACCCTCTCTGCAGACATCCTGGCCACTGGCTCCTACCGGTGGGTTTTCCGAGCCAGGGGAGCGGAGCTGAGGCCACAGTCCCTGTCCCCGAGCGGCTGTGGGGCAGCTGGTACCTGCTGCTGCTTCCTGGGACCCCCTGCACTCCGTTTTCTGCTTGGATTCCTCCTTCTGCCTCCCCCCTGCTTTGCTGGGGGCTGAGCTGCGGGGACTGGGGGAACAGTCCTGCTTCAGCAGTTGTCTTGGGGACTTTGTGTGAGTTTTGTCCCCAATGGGCTGGTCCTTTCCGGCTGTTCCATGTGCCATGAGCTGGAGGCGAGAGCCCCAGCTGAAACAGGGGATGGTTGGCGTTCAGACCTGCTTTTTGCTTGTAGTCACCTTGCTTTTCTCCCCTCTGGTTCTGGGCTAATGAGGAAGAGGAGCCAGTTGATGTCCTGGCAGCCAATTTTAGGATATTTTGGGCATTTGGGGGTTTTTTGCAGCTGTTTCTTGTGTGTTTTGGAGGCAGGTCAGCCTGTTGTGGTGCTTAACCTTTGGTTGTTACGTTGCTCCTCTCTCTCACAGAGTATCTCGGTGAAGTCCTCCAAGGTGTTCCGCATTTTCCGGCAGTGGGAGAGCATGAATTCCTCCTGAACGGACCGCTGCCTCCGAGAACTGCTGCCTGGCTGGGCATCGCTTCGGTCCGGCAGAGATCCGCTTCCCAGTTGCTCCCGCGGCAGCTCCATACCCCAAGGAGGGCATGCTGAGGAGGCTCCACGCCAAACACAGCCCCCAGTGGCTACTGGGACCCCCTCCTCCGTGACTGCCTTCCTCGAAGACCCCGCCTTCACAAATTGCTGCTGTAGTCCTTGGCCCCGAGGGCTTCCACAGCCTGGTCCGGAGCCGGGACGTGCTGCAGGCATTCGGGGCAAACGAGGAGATGTGGTCACCTTGCAAGGGTGACCGTCCTGTCCAGCTGTGACCTGCCACCAGTGGCGCAGAGAAGTGACACCAGGTGGGAATAAACATTTCATTTTTTGATTTTATTTTTTTTTTCTTACTGCTGGTGCAGTGCTTCTTCCCAGGGGAGGATGAGCTCTGGACCTGGCGTGTGGCTCCCCGTATCCCTGGGGATGCTCGTCTTTGTGGAATCAGTGTCCGGCTCCCTCATCTCCTGTGTCCCACTCCTCATTTCACTGTGTCCCCTGCCTGATGGGGGCTCTTTGCCGTAGCTGCAGCCCCCAGCCTCATACCCCCATGCTGGCCAGCCTCTGCCCCAGCTGCTGGAAGAAGATTTAGCTGGGGGCTGGTAGCCTCCCCGAGGTGATAAATCATCTGGGCCAGAGCACCGGGGAGGCTGGGACGCAGCCAAAACTCTGGGAGGAGGTGGATTAGGACTTCCCATGCTCGAGACCAGGCTTCTGGGTGCTGGGAAGGGACTGGTCTCCATCAAAATGGGAGAAGAATCGAAGGAAGAAGCTGATGTGGCATCTCCATCTTTGGGGAAGGGGCTTTGAGAAGGGCTTAAAGCCAGCCTGGGCACAGCTGGACACCCTCACCCCGGGTCTGCCACAGCCACCCCAGTCTGCAGTG